TCCAATTATCACCTCTAATATTATTAGCTCACAGACATTTACCTCTCCCCCTTCCCCACTTCCATCCCCCTTCTGTTCTAAAATTTGATTTGTCCTTTTCATATGTGTTCATTTTTTAAATTGTTTCCTTTGGTATATATGGTTGTGATAATTTCCTTCCAGTATTTGATCTGAGGAATTGAGAAATTTCATCTCTGCTTCTCTTCCTAAGGTGACATGTATCCAGTCAATATGGGGCTAATTAAAATTCCCCATTATTATAGAATTCTTTATTTTGGTAGCCTCTCTAATCTCCCTCAGCATTTCAATGTCAGTATCACTGTCCTGGTTAGGTGGTCGATAATATATCCCTACAGCTAATTTCTTATTATTGGAGCATGGAATTACTATTCACAGTGATTCTATTGAACATGTTGATTCATTTAGTATTTTTATTTCATTTGATTCTACATTATCTTTCACATACAGTGCCACTCCGCCACCCATCTGGCCTGCTCTATCCTTCTGATATATTTTATATCCCGGTATGATTGTATCCCACAGATTTTCCTCATTCCACCAGGTTTCAGTGATGCCTGTTATGTCAATCTCCTCCTTTAATACGAGGTTCACCCATCTTATTAGTCAAACTCCTACCATTTGTGTAGAACAGTGGTTGTTTGTCTGCTCTGGCCCATGGTTTGGCCTTTCCCCTCCTCTCTATCTGACTATAGCTAGAGAATCTCTATCAATGGATTCTCCTCTAAGAGAAGTCTCCCTCCAATTTATGTGCATCTCTGCACCAATCAGCTTTTCCCCATCTCTTAGTTTAAAAACTGCTCTATGGCCTTTTTAGTAGTATCCGTGCAAATCAGTCATATCCGTGCAAAATTTGGTGTTTCTAGCTCTTTCAGGACAAACAAACAAACAAACAAACAAACAAACAAACAAACAAACAAACAAACAAACAAACAAACAAACAAACAAACAAACAAACAAACAAACAAACAAACAAACAAACAAACAAACAAACAAACAAACAAACAAACAAACAAACAAACAAACAAACAAACAAACAAACAAACAAACAAACAAACAACTACTTTTTACTTCTGGATACTTAAGTACAATTAAGATGCAATATTTTTGCACTTTTACTCAAGTAGTTTTCCAGAAGGATACTTTGACTTTTACTTAGTTACATTTTTTTCAAAGTAGTACTTTTACTCAGCTAACTTTTTGGGGAACTTTTTCCACCACCATTGCTCACCATTACGGCCTGTAAAATGTGGGAGAGCCTAATTTCATGGATTCTCCCTTGCTAGGGACCCTGCATGGAGACATCATTCTGTACCAGTGTCCACACAAGTCTTCAGCCAAACACCAGGTGACTCGGCAACCAAGACGACTGGAGATCACCATCCTGCTATAGCCTTTGCCTGTCTGCACCACCATCAAGAGAGGCTGTCTCTTTGTCCATCTACTCTGTCTAGAACAGAGAAGGGCTTTGTGGGAAGGATCCCAGCATTTCGAGGACCAACCATGAGAGCAGGAAACAAGGAAATGGAGAAGGAGGGGAGGTTGTGCGGCAGCCCGACTTGACAATCTGCATCTGCTACTTTCACTGGGAACTGAATGCCCTACTAGGACAAGAACTGCAGATTCCAGACTGGCCTTGTAGGCTACCTGCAGGTCCACCCTTAGTATCTGTCATTTCATGGAGGATGAGCATGCATCTGTGTGGCTGGATGTTTTACATAAAAAAAAAAATAATAAAACCTAACCAATAAAAAAATTCACAAAAGTGAAAGCATTTTGTTTAAAAAATTTCTGAACAAAACCTTCCTCAACTTTCACGTCCAAAAGACTTTTGTTGAGAAGTTTCCTTTAATTTTTATGTCGAACGCCCAAATGAAATGTTTACTTTCAGGTGAGATGAAATGTTTTGGTTGTTCTCAAACAGGGTTTGTTTTTGTTAATCCAACATTGCCACTGAACAGAAAAATTCATTATCTGCCATTTTCTGTGTCAGTTTTGATACTTTTCAGAGGAAATAGTTAAAAATATAATTTTGTTTTGATGATGGCAAAACAATTCATTTCAATTAGGTCCCAATATTTTGTTTTGACTTGATTATTTTCATTAAGAGGGCAATCTAGCTATATTTTAGAAATGTGCATCCGCGAGTCTGTTCAAGACTTTCTCCTAAAAGGATAAGTGACACACCAAATTTGGTAAGTAGCTACATCTTATCTTCATTTAAAGCAAGGTCAGGGTTTGTTGGTGCTAGGACAATAGGATGTGCCTGGAATTTGATTGGGGGGGGGTCTGGCAGGAGGGAGTTATACCATGGAATGACCACAGGGGGCAGAAGATACTCTAGTGGGAAGCCACTGGCCACCAGCAACTGGCAGTTTGGCCTGACTTTGATGTTATGTTAAACTATTAAACACAGTCTAAGATTCTAGGGAAAACTTTCCAACTTTATGCAGAATTTAGCACTAGAGTAGGTTACCTGGGACAGTGGCGTTTTCATGGCTGCAGGTGATTAAGAGCAAGTTAGACATACAGTTCTCACAGATGGTCTAAATGTGCTGAGTGCTGACTCAGTCAGCGGCAATGGATTTCATCTGATGATTTTTCAAGGTCCCTTTTATCCCGATGTGAGGGAGCGTCTGCTTCGGTCTGGCCCTTTAAGGGTAAAAACCCAACCCTGGGAGAAGGCTGAGAGCAAAGGCCACAGCGGGGGCTGATAATAGCCACTTAGGGCCCAGCTGGGGCTAAATAAATAAGGGCTCAGGCGGGAGGAAGAGAGGCTCTTGTTCTAGCTGGGGAGCAGGACAGACCTGGCTGCCAGGGAAGCTGGAGGCTTCCTGGGACAGAGCAGGGCTGGGGAAAGGCAGGCAGGGCTGGGGACACTTGCCCCATAACACCTGTTTATTAGCATACATGTAAACCTGAGCCATGGGCGGAACATTTATGTAATCTTTTAGATTATTGTCTTTCTGTGCTCATTACATCTTGCTGCTAGAACCTATCCAGGGACTCAGGAACTCCCGCCCATCCCTTCTCTCCGCCCATTGTCACCCTATATAATCTATAGTCATCCATTGTATGGCAATCTCACTGAGCCTAACAAGCAAAGTGACACTCCACCAGCGCTGTGCGTAATAAACCCCCATGCTTGAACCTACACGGTGTCAAATTTCTATGTCCTTCAAAGATTGTATGGCTAGAAATGAGGAGGTGGACGGCTGTGTGGATAGACAGATCAGGCATGGAGAGGTGGAAATGGTTGGGTGACACTTGAGGTCTCTTCCATCCTGTGAGGGAGTGGACTAAACCCAAAGGCCCCCTGCTGGAAACCTCAGGACTCTGCCACACCCATTCCAGGAAGAGAGTAGTGGGGAGGACCTCCAAGCTGGCTAGAGTGGCTGCATGGAAAGCAACCAATCAGGGCCCAGGAGGGCCATATAAAAGGGGGGAAGTGTGGGTGGGTGGAAGGGGACAGCTGGTACAAGTTTTTGGACTGAGCTGCTACTAGGATCCAGAGAAAGTGAAGGAACTTCAGCACGACGGCTAAGTGGGGGGCAGTGATGGGGGGAGCAGGAAGCTCCTGTCTGGCTGCTTAGACTGAGCTCAGGACCATTTGCAAGGAAGGGTTCAGGGGAACAGAGAGGGAGCCCCTGGCCTGCGTGAGGACTGAGCCGGGGGAAAGCCCCAGGACAATAGTGACTCCAAGGGGGACACCTGGGGATGCAGCCCCAACCCAGAGCTGAGATTCTATAAAGACAGAGTCCCAGGCGGGGCTGTAAACCCCCCTGAGAACCACAACAAGGGAGTGTCAAAAATAGGAGCTGCTAAGGAGAGTCTGACTTACCTGGAGAATGAGGAAAGGATTAAGCTACTGGAGATGCACCCAGGAAGGAGGTTGAGGCAGTCAGCCGATAAAAATGCAGATAAGAATTTCAGATTGGGGCGGGAGGGGGGATTTTCTTTCTCTCTTCTTTTTTGAGATCAGAACAGTTTCTCTCAGGTATTGAGGGAGACGGGAGACATTCTCTCTCCAAGAACAGACTTCTTGAATTGTATAAGTAGGGAAAAATTTAGACAGTCTATCAGGTTTTGTTGTTTTCCTTGTTTGGGGGTTTGAAAATTATGTCTGAGCTGGCTAATTGTTTTCCATTTTTGTAACTAAGGAATACAGCCCAGGGATTTTCCCTGAGTCTATTTAACTCCTAGTTACCTATTATGCTTGCAACCCCAGTTTTGTTTTGATAATAAAAGAGTGAGTCTTGCCCACATGCTCAGGGTTTAGCTGATCGCCATATTTGGGGTCGGGAAGGAATTTTCCTCCAGGGTAGATTGGCAGAGGCCCTGGAGGTTTTTCGCCTTCCTCTGTAGCATGGGGTACAGATCACAGCTGGAAGATTCTCTGCATCTTGTGGTCTTCAAAGTATTTGAAGGCTTCAATATCTGAGCTATCGGTGAGAGGATTATTCTAGGAGGGATGGGTGAGATTCTGTGGCCTGCACTGTGCAGGGGTCAGACTAGATGATCATAATGGTAACTTCTGACCTTAAAGTCTATGAGTCTATGAGTTTTCCTTTTGTTTTGATTAACTGGTATTGGTTGATTATTTTGTCCTTAGGTTTACGTGCCTAGTTACCTGGGAACAGTCCATTGTTGTCTGCAGAGTCCCTCTGTTCATTTTCCCAACTCCAAGCAAAATGGAGGTTGGGGTAGTGGGGAGAGCTTTACCTTAGGTAGGGGATTCCCAAGTGATGTCTTCCCTAGAAAAGGGTTTATTTTCTATTTTCTTTTAATCACTTGAGTGGTGGCAGCCAGGAACCAACCTTCTGTCTTTTTGGATCTCAGGAGGACTCAGATCAAACAAGTTTGTGTCTGGGAGTCACAGAGGCAGGTTTTGCAGAGTTATTCTACTAGCTGACACCCCATCCCTGCACTCGGAGTGTCAGGTTGGGGAATTGAGCCATGACGGGGGGATCACCAGTGGATAATGCAGACGCACATAACTGGAGGAGGTGCTCATGAGAGGTGGGCGTCGGTCCCATCCCACATCCCTACCTTGCTCAGATTCTATTGACTGCACTGAATATTTATTATATCTTTAAAATGAATTTCTGAATGAAAACAATCAAATCAAAACACACTCTTGGAATCTCATTTGAACAAACTGTTTTCACATCCCTAAAAGAGAAGTATCATTTCAGCAGTTTCCTCTGAAAAGCATCAAAGCCAGCACAGAGCACGGGGCAGAGAATAAACTTTTCTGCTTGCCGGCAATTTTGGGATCAAAAAAATTAGTTGGGATCAGCCAAACCATTTTGCTTGAGCTGAAAGTAAACGTTTCGTTTGGGTGTTCGGAACATTTTTTTCAACATAAAAGCTCCAGTTGTCTTAGCTGTCTGGTCACCTGGTTAAAAGTCTGAGAGGGGGAGCCGTGTTAGTCTGTAACTACAAAGACTTAAAAAACAATGTGTGGTCCCACAGCACCATAGACCAGGGGTCTCCAACCTTTTTAAGCACGAGATCACTTTTTCCATTTAAGTGCAACCCAAGATCTACCTCAAACCCAAAGACTCTGGCCCAACCACCTTTGTGCCCCTTTTCCAAGGCTTCACCCCTGCTCACTCCATCCTCCCCCACTTTCACCAGGCTGGGGAAGAGGGTTGGGGTGCAGACTCTGGTCTTGGATGAAGGGGCTCTTTGGAGTGTGAGAGGGGCTCTGAGCTGAGCTTGGGGCAGGCCCTTGGGGTGCTGGAGGGGGTTCTAGGTGCAGTCTCGGGGAGGGTGTTTAGATGAAGGGATGCCCAGGCTAGGGCAGGAGGTTGGGGGGCAGGAGGGGGTTCATGACTGGGGCAGGGGTTCAGGATTCTAGCTCTGGCTGGACACTGCTTACCTCAGGAGGCTCCTGGGTGCTGGTGCAGGGGGATAAGGCAGACTTGCCCCTACCCTGGCCCTACACCACTCCCAAAAGCAGCCAGCAAACTGCATCCCAAGCCCTGTTTCCCCTCTCTGCTCTGTAGAGATAGAATACAGGGTGGGGGTGGGGGGCACCCTGACACCAGCGCTCCTCTTCTCCCTTCCCTGCCCTGCCCAGCAAGCAGGAGGCTCCTAGGGATGGGGGGAGGCAGCTCCAAGGCAAAAGGCAGGAGATACGCAGCAGTGGGGACAGGGACAGCTGACGTGGCCAAACCTGTCAGGATCACTTGTCAGAGGCTGCAAGATCTACCAGCAGATCCTGATCGACTGGTTGGTGACTGCTGCCTTAGAGGAACAAAGATGCAGATGGTATCATGAGCTTTCGTGAGCACAACCCACTTCTTCAGAAGAATGGAGCACGGGGTCCAGAGTCACAAATAAATAGCAGAGAAAGAGGGGAGGGGAGGGAAGGAGAAGGGGGAAAAATTGCCAATTTGAGTGTCCGTGCAAAACGAGGCTAATAGAATGGGTGTAAATGCCCGATAATTAACTGGTACCGTCATTAGGATGTTGAATGTAGCAGCCCATCCAGTAAGGTCTTTGTGCAGATCTTCACCTGGGTTGTGTCTAGACTGGCCAGTTTTTTCGGAAAATCAGCCACTTTTCCGGAAAAACTTGCCAGCTGTCTACACTGGCCGCTTGAATTTCCGCAAAGCACTGACTTCCTACTGTAAGAAATCAGTGCTTCTTGCAGAAATACTAGTCTGCTCCCATTTGGGCAAAAGTCCCTTTTGTGCAAAGCTTTTGTGCAAAAGGGCCAGTGTAGACAGCTCAGATTTGTTTTCCGCAAAAAAGCCCCGATCGCGAAAATGGCAATTGGGGCTTTTTTGCGGAAAAGCGTCCGTGCCAATCTAGATTCTCTGTTCTGAAAATGCTTTTAACGGAAAACTTTTCCATTAAAAGCATTTCTGGAAAATCATGCCAGTCTAGACGCAGCCCTGGTGATTGGCTGAAGACTTGTGTGGATGCTAGTGCAGAATGACGTCTCCATGCAGGGTCCCTAGAAGAGGAGGGACCCTGAGGTTTTTTATAGGCGGTAACAGTGAGCAACAGTAGTGAGGGGAGCGAGGAGCAAGCAGGGGGTGGTTTTCGGGGGGGGGGCAAAGTGGCGTGAGGATGGGGCATAGGCGGAAGGGACAGGATGAGGCCAAGAGACTGGTGGAGAGGGGCGGCATGGGAGGGAGCCCAGAGAACAGGACGGGGACAGGGCCTCAGAGCAAAGGGGGGCACGAGGACAGGAGATTGGGAGGAAGGGGTGGTCGGGGGTGGGGAGCTCGGAGGAAGGGGCAGCCTGAAGTCAGGGCCTCAGGGGGAAGGGTCGGAGTGAGGAAGGGGCCAGTGGACAGGCCGGGTTGGCTTCCCTGCTTTTAGGGACCTTCCGTCTCCCTTGTCTCTGTGCTGAAAGAGGAAACGCCCAGGTCTCTTCCAGACTCAGGTCCGTGTGCGAGTCCTGCGGCGCTGGGCGATGGCAGCAGGACAGCGATGGCCGGGGGCCCCAGCACCTACC